AGTGTATTTCCAAACAATACTGCTAGACACACTTTTCTTGGTTGAAATTTGATAAAACCTAGGTAGGAGAAAATGCCAAACATGCTCTGATGAGCACCTTAAGCTGATACTCCTGGTTGCTGGATGAGGAAGGAGCACACCTCAGCATATGGTTTGGCTCAAAAGCCCCTTTGGCAGGACGCTGGCGCCTTTCTGGGACACTTGGCTGGGAAGGGCCATCCCACCTGCTTGAGCTGGAGGGCTGAGAACCCTTTACTGACTGCTGTCCTCTTGTTGAACTCTGTGCATTAAGCACCGTGTACGTTCTAGGCACTTTAGCGGACAAGCCGTGGCGCCTCGGTACGAGAGGAGAGTGGGGTCCCACGCAAAGGTGCTACTGTCAGTCCAACCTGATACCTCACATTCTCGTTCAGCTTTGCAGCTAACACTGGACCCCAGGCCACAGCCGCGAGTAAGGGGAGGCGCCTCCCTCTGGGGCGTCTTGCAGAAGCTAAGCCATTCCACAGCCTTGGAGGAATGATCTCTCCTGCCTTTGCTGGACAGCCAATAGATCCCGTGCCAGGTAAGGGCCGCCAGGGCCTGGGAACCTGGAGCTCAAGCCGCAGAGCCTGGACGGGGCGGGACGAGGGGGCGGGGCCCGGAGCGCGCTGTGGGGGCGGGGTCGGACGACTTCGGGGTGGGCCCTGGAGCGACAGCGAGGCCCCGGGGGCGTGCGGGCGGGGGCGCGCTCGTGGTGGGGGCGGGGCAATAGTCGCAGGCCCACGCCGTAAATACACAGCATGGCTATGCTAGGACATCCACTACGGACACTGTGTCAGAGGCTGAAACAAACACGTAAATAACATCCGACAAACACACGCAGGGTTTCCCACCTTCTTCTACTCACTCCCCCAAACACACATGACCTCACACCCAGACCCATATCCCTTCAAAATCTATAAACAGCACCTGTCTACATCCCACAGTTACATACATGCAACTTGCAACACCCAAACGCTGATGCCCCACTCTCCCCAAATTCCCCCCCACCAAAACTGCACTCCATAATTCTCACTGAGATGATGAGCACAGGTGCAGCCCCTACAGCCTGAATACAGAGCACAAAAATGCACAACCCTACCTCTTCTCACATGCATACTTACTCACAATAGCCTCAAAATGCAGGCCCAACCCCACACACCAGTTCACACCCACACAGACCCTACACATGCTGAGTGTGACCCTAAACCATCCCACACCACGATGAGGGCACTCATGCCCCTCACCTTTCCCAGGTCACACCCACACAGGCCCTATGCATCCTGAGTGTTACCCCAAACTTTACCCCCCATGCACCCCCAAATCCTGCACATGCCTTGGTAGCATAACCCATCACGTCCTGATCTGTATTGCTTCTCCCAGCCTCCTTCCACATGCAAAACACACACACGCGCGCGCACACACACACACACACACACACACACAACCCCTCTAGCCCCTACTCCTCCAAGGCCCCTGATAATCCTGAGAGAGTAAGTACTCACTAAATCCCCTTGGACCTGAGTATATATAGGGTCAACCCCTCAAACCTCTCAAAATACATGCAATCCCTCAAAGACACTCCCAGACCACCTACATAGATACAGAAATAAATGTACCTATACAAAGGAATATACCCCCAACCCTGCTGTCCTAATGCACATGGACACAGGCATATATGACCTACCCCGATCTTCAAATGCACACATTAGGTTACTAAACACTCTGAATTCACACATGCCACAACTCAACCTGTACTATGTACACAAAGCAGAGCCAAGGAAACTTACTACAAACACCTTGAGCCTTCCAGGAGCTGCCCACCACCCAGCACAGACAGCCCATACCTCATGGGCACATATATGTATGCGGAGCTCCTCGTTTGTGGGAGCAAACAGCCATCCTGAGGGGCTGCCCAGGCATATACGGCAGGCAGCCTGCTCACACCGAGTCTGAACATTTAGATCAGCTGAGCTTAGGCTGCTGGCCCAAGTTCCAGCTTTGCTCTTCCCAGGGCACCTTGAAGGTAGGCACTTAAAGAGTCATGGCTGTGAAGTTAGTGGCCACCACCCCGGCCACTGCGTAAGCACTGAAGTGCCTGCTACCCCACTGCCTACTGCTCACCAGTGACCTGAGGCAGAGGACTGCTCTTCCCCACTTCTGGGGTCCCTGAGCAATAAACCTGTGACTTTACACCTTTGTGTGGATGTACTGAAACTGCGCCTTCCATCAAAGGAACTCTAGGGTTTTCACATCCTTCGAGTGGGAGCTCGGATGCTGAGGAAGCTGCCTGCTGGTCCCTGTGAGTGGCTTGTGCCTCGTTCAGCAGGTCATAGTCTGTGTCTTCCCCCAGCTACATACCCCAACATGCTGCTCCACAACATACAAGCACAACCCTCCACATTCCCTGGCTTCACACAAATCCCACACTTGTACATGCAGTCTCAGCCCCAACACACACAAACACACACACACATATACACACACAGTTACCGCCACCCTGATAACACCCTCACGGTGTGAAAAAATGGCTATGAGGTACAGAGGGGTTGAGTTTGGTGATATGGCAGGTGGCCCTGCAGGCTGCTTGAGGCAGAGTTAGAAAGGCTTGGCCAAATCCTTCCAACTGAGACACCTCTGAAGAGACGGGCTGGCACCTTAGCTCCTGTGCAGTGGACTGAGGCTGTTTGGGGTCTAGCTCAAAGTTCAACTTTGCCTCTGCCCAATCCTTTCTTCTTCTACCCCTCCCGGGTGTTCCCTAAACTCTGTCTCTGAGTCTGTTTTCCAAAGAATCCAAAGTATGACAATTATTTATCGAGGATCGGTGAACATGGTTCAAGACCCTCTTACGGCTCCTACGCTTTAGTGGAGTAACAGGTAATAAAAGCAGGGGTGGGTGTAAACACAGATGTGTGAGTTATCAAAGCAGACTGTGTTTCTGATCAGATTTCTGGGGTGTTCCCGGAGAAGAGGCCCTGGGCTTCCTGAAATGCTCCAAGTCTCCTCGGGGTGCCCCATGGGCACTGTGCTTTTTAAAGCATGGGAGAGCTGGGGAAGGACCCGGACCACTGGCCTCCTGGCTGGCACTCCCTCAGTGTCCCTCCTACTGACAGCCACAAGGGGTGGGTTTGGCCAAGAAGCCAGTGGGGGTGGGGCTCTCGAGGTGTGAGCTGGGGACATCTCCCAAAGTGATCCCTCCAGCTATTCCAGCAGTCACGGCCTGTCCTCCCACCCGCCAGACACATCTTCCTCTGTCTGAGCCTCCTAGGACATGCATGCCCAGGGACAACCGGTGAAGGACCAATGAGACAAAGAGAGGAGGCAGCCTCACCATCCATCTGCAGATTGGCAAGGACGAGGGCAGCTGTCCAAGGCCCCAGAAGTGAGTCTCCCGCCCCCCAGTGCACAGTGACCGGGTCACCATGACATCTGCCGTCTGAACAGAGGGGCAGCTCCTGTGGGCCCATGCTGGCTCTGGGTTACTGGGATTTTCCCAGGATGCCACGGCCTCTCTGGGGGCTGATTCTGGCGAGGTAGGAGGAGGACTCTGAAGCCAGGCCACATGGTGCCGGCCTGGGGGCTCCAGCTCTGAGTGCTGAACCTGCACCGGAATCCACACCCGCCTGAGCCCACTGTCCTCACAGAGTGGTGGGTGACATGGGACCCCTCCTGATCTCTGTGGGGAGCCCACAAGCTACAGGAGGCAGAGCACCTGCTGGAGGAGCATTGTGACTGGAGGGGAGACAGGGACCTGGCCATTTGCACAGAATCTGCCTTACCTCCTACCAATGCCTCCCGGATTCGCACTTTGTGCACCATCCCAGCAAACGTCAAGTCTGCTTTGTTTTTCTCTAATAAACAAGCTTGGCCATGATACGAATTTAAACATGTCATTTTTCGTCCCAGTGGACCTCCCTCTGTCCTTTCCAAGACAGCATGCAAACCTTCACCCACCTTGTTGCAGTTCCCCCAGCCTGCCACATGGGCCTCCCCAGGGGGGACACAGCAGGGTGGCCACAAGGGGACACAACATCTGGACCAGTCCTTGGTGCTGCCACCTGGGCCTGGGCAGGAGAGGGAGGCAGATGGCAAGGTCAGGGGCTGGCCGGTGGGGCCTGTGGGATTTGGGAAGGAGTAGCCCTCACTTTCCAGAGCTCCAAGCAGAGGGCCAGGCCACCTGTGGGTCCCGATGGAGCAGGGCCCCACTGGGGGAGACTCGGCCTCAGGACCCACAGGGCCAGGAGGGAATCAGAACTTAGAACATGGAGAAGCAGTGTTGGCCAGGAGGGAGGCAGGGCCTCCACCTTCAGCTCCTGTCCCTTATTCTGTGCTCATCTCCCTCTTGCGAGCCAGGTTGGCCACGCTGTGCCATGCGGTCTGCGTCACCATCCCAGAAGGGCCAAGGAGGACCCCACCTGGATCCCCATTCCCCCAGCCCTGGGTGCAGACCTCAGCCCGGGGCCCCTGCAGCCCTCATGTGCTTGTGTGTGTCAGTTGCGGTGCCTTAGTAGGAACACACTCAAAACCAAAGCAACATCCACACCTATTCACAGAGGGTCCGGCCCTGGGGGGAGGCGATGGGACAGCAGTGTGGGCATCATTGAAACGCAAAGGCCCAGAGGCCAGCCTCTCAGGCCACAACTACATGGGGCCTCCTACGTCAGTGGACACGACGCTTCTGCACAGAAATCCCCCAGGGAGACAAGGTGAACCCCGCCCAATATCCTTTCTGAGTGCCCCGATTCTCCTCCCAGCCCGATGCCCTCTCTGTACTGAGGTAAGAGGGACTGTCCACCAGCCCACACATTTCATGCGCCCACCGAGGCCGGAGGATGGGCCTTCTACGTCGGTTGTGGAGCCTGTCCCCTCATGACATGCCGTTCCTCTCTGCTCAGCACCCCCAAGGAGACCCTGATGCCTGAGAATCCCCCAGCGCCCCAGCCCGCTTCAGCGAGAAAAGGAGGGCCACCTCTAGACAACGGCTATCTGCAGGCTCTGTCCAGAAAGTGGGCTGGTGCTGCAGAGGGCACAGGGCCAAAGCAGCTGCCATCCTTAGACGTTTGGGGTCCTGTGATGACGCTGTGTCCTGGGGACTCCCAGAAGTGGTCTCCAGAGGAGCAAGGGTGGGATGGGGGGGTTATGGGGGCAGTGGGCTCTCGGGAGCTATCTGGAGAATGCACATGAATGTGGAGGGGGAACGGGACATCACCTTGAGTCCTGGAGCCCGGGACCTTCTTGCTTTTGGCACCCCTTCCCATGGAGAAGCCCAGATGCCACTAGGGGCCGAGACCCAGAACATTTCCTAACAAAACAGGCTTTATTTGCATTTACATACAATGCCTGAGTGGGCTGAACACCCACCCACTGCCCCACACCTTTCCCACCATCCTCTTATCCCACCCCCCCAACCAGCCACCCCTAGGGGACCCGCCCTCCCGCCTCTCCCACCCCACCCAACCCCCGTCCCACAGCAGCCAGGATCAGGACTGGGATGTGGAGGAGCCCGAAGCTGCCCTGGAGGGCCGACTCCTCCCTACTGGCTGCAGTGCTGCTTCCTACCCTTCCCTGTGACAAAAGGGACCCCCTTCTCTTCTGGGGCTGTGAAGGGTGGCCCAGCCCCAGAGCCAAGGCTGGTACCTCAGCGACCCCAAGGCTGGCCCCTGGCAGGGGTGTCCTCTCAGCAGGGGCTTGGCCTGCACACGGGGCCCGACTGCTGGCCTTGCCAGCTGGAGGGCCAGCGGGGCTGAGGCCCGGCTTCTGGGGAGAGAGGGCCTGGGGTACTCCAGGGTGGAGGAGGTCTGAGCCTGGAGCAGGACTCTGGGGCAGTCCCCGGGATGGCAGCGTGTGCTGAGAGGACAGGAGGAAGGCCAGGCTGGGGACCTCCTCCTCATCCTCACTGGGCCTTCCCATGGGCCCCAGGGTCTCCCGAGCAAAACAGATCTCTCCCGGAGCAGTGGCGAGCCTGGACCCCAGGCTGGGGGAAGTGCGGCACCGAGCCTGGGGGGCAGGGGGCCACCAGGCAGCCTTCAGGGGAGGGGGCTCCTGGTGTCCTGGAGAGGCAGCAAAGGCTTTGGGCCTGGGCACGCCAGCATCTGCTAGGCTGTGCGCCTGGTGCTGCCCACAATCAGCCTCTGGTGGGCAAGCTTGGTCGCTGACCCCGAGCTGGGAGCCATGGCCGTGACTCTGGGGATCCTGGCCAGCCTCAGACACAGAAGGCCTTGGGTCCAGTCGGGGTGTGCCGTGACTTGGGGGGGCCTGCACACCCTCCTCCTGCTTCAGTTCCAGGAGTTGCTTCTGCTCCAGCTGTGAGGAGGGAGGGCACCATGAGGCGGCCTGAGAGGGGGAGGAGGTGCCATGCCAACGACAGCCACTGCGGCTCTCCTGCCAACCTCACCCTCCAGCTTGGTGCCCCGGCCTGCGTCCTCCCTCTCCTCCCCGGCTCCCCATCCTCTCCCTGCCATCCTCCTGCCCGGCCCCCACCCTCAGAGAGGCCCTCCCTGCCACTCCTGCCATGCAATGCAGGGGGACAGTCAGCCAGGAATCCTGTCCTGGGGTCCCCTGCCCTGCTTACCCGGGTTGCCCCTTCTCTGGGCTCATCTGTTTCCTTCCCTTTCCCAGCTCACCTGTGCCAAGGACAGTCCTTCCTCCTGCTCCAGCTCCTCAGCGAGGGCCAAGAGATCCAGCTGGGGTTCTGGGGAGGGCAACTCTGCCAGGAAGCATGGGTGCAGCACTGCGTCCACCTGGCACAGGAGGAGGAGGCTGTGAGCATCCTTGGAGGGAATCCCCTGCGCACCCAGAGGACCCGGAGGGTGAGGGAAAAGCAGAGACCAGCCCCATCCTCCACAACAAGGGGGTGTTGGAAAGGCATGGTCATGGTCCCCGACCACAGGCACACGTGCACATGCACAGCACATACACATGTATATATGTGCATGCCACACACCCCACATGAGACATGCACACAAACATATGCACACCCACACCCACACAAGTATATATACAGGTACCTATGTGCACACATGCACGCACAAGCATGCACACAAACACCCCGCACACACCTGGCTCACCTGCATTATCCCTGTACAACACGCAGACACACACACATATTTACACACCTACATGTGCACATCCACCATCACACACACACCAGAGCTCAGAAATAAGAAACAAACTTAATCCCAGCTGCCTGGGCACCACCCAGACCTGGATGGTGGGAGTGCCACTCCCCAAAATCTTGTGGCACCTGGGCCAGGGTCGGCCCACCTTGGTGAGAAAGTCTTCCTGGGAACAAAGCTCATCCATCAGTGTGGCTCAGGAGACCTGGGTCCAGGTAGGCGCCCTCCTCTCCCTGTGGTTGCTCGGAGCTCTCCTCTCCCCATTCTCCACTGGGCACACGCTCAGCTGGGAAGCCAGGCCCCAGCAGCCCCTCCATGAACTCCAGGTTCTGCTCCAGCTTGGGAGGGATCTCCATCGGTGCCTCGGTGCGTGGGCTCTGCTGGCATCGCTGTGGTTGGGTGGTGGCAGGCTGGGCCCTGGCGTCGGCCTTCTTGGGGATGCATGCTGAGGAGGGTGCAGGGAAGGAGTGTGGGTGGCCGGGCCACACCTCGCCAGCACCAAGAGTGCTCAGGGAAGACCGAGCTCGGGGACATTCCCATGGGGGGTGAGGGCCAGCTGGTCCACAGGCACCAAAGTGAGGGAGGGTCACAGGGCCTCCGAGGGCTTCATGCTGGGGAGGGAGGCCCGCCCTCCTCCCAGTCCCCGGCCCCTTCCAGCACCCCCTGTGGGTCTCTGATCAGGGCAGAGGGGGGTGGCCATGTCCTAAACCTGGCCCATTCCCATCAGGACCGGTGTGTGGTCCCCAACATGGCCTTCCAAGGCTCCCACTGCCTCTGGCCTTTGGCTCCGGGGGAACACGGTGGCATACCTCGCTTCTGGCCCCGCTCTGGGGCTGAGGGCGCCCGAGGAACAGGCCTGAGGGGTGCTGGAGGAGGCACGCCCTGTGCCGCCTTCATCCACTGTGCGTTCTGACATTGCCTCGCCTCCTCGGCCTCGAACTCCATGAACCTGGGGCGAGGGAGGCACGGACCCCTGAGGAGGAGGCCTCCCGGGCCCAGGCAGGGAAGCAGTCAATGGAGAGGTCAGATGACAAGGGCATGGGGTGTCATGGCCTTGGCCATGGTGGGGAGGCAGGCTGCCTGGGGGTGCCTGATCCCATGCAGAGCCCCAGGGCCAGAGTCTGAACCCCCCAATGCCTTGAGACCTTCATGTCTAGACAGAAAAGGTCAGGGTCAGGCCAGGTAGGGCCCTGGGGCAGAGGGACAGAGTAGCCAGCCTCCCAAGGTACGGGGGTGTCGTGACCCTTCAGGGACCGAAGCAACACACCCAAGGTCTTGATTCTTCTCTAGGCTTTATTGTCTAATCTCTCACGGCAGTTACAGCAGTTGTCGGGAAGCTCTTCTCCCTCCCGGGGGGGCTCCCTTATATTCTTCAGTCACCCAACCAATCCGGGACAGTATCATGCGTGACCTTTAAGTGGATAGGTGTCACGCGCCACTCTAAGCGGGCAGCACGAGCTGTGCACGGGTACGGAAGTCTGTTGGGCCAATCCCCAA